AATTTCTGTAGATCATCATTGATATCCGGGGTCTTCTTATCAGCGTCAAACTCCTTTGACCAAGCAGCATAATCGGCACTGTTAGGGTCCTTCGTGAAGCTCTCAGTCGAGGTGTGAATAACGTGTAGTTGAGCATCGAATCTTGAAGTATGGATCACGCGCTTGCCCTGCGCGTCTTTACTTTCAAAAAGAACAGCACCACTTTGATCAGACTCTTGGGGCGGTGCAATGCTGACGGCATCACGGAGGAAGTTGCGCACATTACCACCAAACTTAATAAGAGCCTCATCGGCAGCTTCCTCGGCTCGCTGAAGATCCTTCAACCTCTTGGCAGCTTCGGCTCGAAGACGGGCAAGGGTATTCTCGGATTGTTTTGCTTCTTCCGAGCCATCCTGAGAAGCCCTTGGGGTGGTTTGGTCTTTCTCTCCGTCCTTTGAGCTCTCACCTGCCGTAGCAGTATTGAGTGAAAGGTTCCGTGTGTGGCTCAGAATAGTTGACCGCAGACTGGTGAGTCCTTTTGACGCATCTTCGCCAACTTCTGCCAACTCCTTTGATGCTTGTGTATATACCGATTCACCCTGTCCATGTTAGATAGACCATGGTTATGAAGTGAGATCTCGTACCTGCTTGGCCACAGTGCCAAAGAAACCACCGATCTTGGCACCCCACGGACTGTTTGAGAATGCCTTATAGGCGTCCTGGAGGTCCTCATTCAGAGTTGACTGGGGTTGGGTAATCTTTGGCTCTTCCGTCTTCTTAGCGTAGCCATCTTCTGCAATATGATCGTAAGCCAGATCCATGGCGTCGAGCTAGGTATCGTTCTAAGTTGATGTATTTCAAACTATGGCTCGGGATCTCGGTTTTCAAAGCGAATTGATCGTTCAATTCGTTGAAGGTCACTTCATTCGATATCTCCTGTCGTTGACTTGGATCTCCCTTGTTCTGATTTGAGCCTCCTGACCGCACTGGCGGGGTCCAATGGCTGTTGGGCACGGGCCATTCTATTCACGTGATTATTCAGTGCCTCATCATGCCATGACACCTAACCTAGAGTCTTTACAATGCTCAATCATGATGATCACATTCTTAGTACATGCAGACCATAACACATCGTAATTACAAAGTAATTGCCTAAAGTTCGTAACCTAATTTGTGTTATTCTCTACTTTAGAGTTGTAGCGGACCTGTTTCTCAATGTATCTTGTCATAATTCTGAAACCTCAGGTCACGAACCTCCGATATGTCAACAGTTCGGCTTAGCCACACCTTAACAAGAAGCTTGCTGACGCTTGTCATCCTAACCTGTAGGCATCGAAGATATTAAACTTATCCCCATGCTTTGAAGTGGATGTTGAAATTTGTAAAGAGGGGAAAGGGGTTGGGGACAATCAATCGATGCGTTGTCTCTGTTATTGGACGTATCTCGACCTATGGCGAGCACCATCAAAACAGCAAGGTGTATGGGTCAAATGGAGGAATAGGCAGACTCTGTTGAAACCAAGTATAGTGTATCTCTAGAACAACTACCTGGTCATCCCAACAATTTCGGTCGAATATCATTGGCAACAATGCTGAACTCTACCTCGGCCGCCAAGTTTTCTGGCACTGGAGCTCGCGGACACCCTGACTGCAGACATCCACCATTGACTTAGTACCCTACTACCCCAGATTGAGGTTGCAACATGCCAAACGAACCCTTGTTTCGAGCACCTTGACACCTCAGAGAAGATGGTGTTGTTACCCTTGAGATCCTCGACATGGAGGGACCCTGAATCCGTGACATTCCCGAACATTCTCACGTGCTTAAATTCCCCTTCCACCAAATGTTACCGGTGGCATTACGGTATGCTTATTCACGGCCAACTAAAGGCAATTCCTTGTTTACTCCGGTTGGCGTAAAAACGACTCGATCGTCGGCTTCAGACGGAGAACAAATCCCGTCTAAAAGATCACTTGACCCCGATCGCGATCAGAGAAAAGACCTAGAGCGGGCCACGACATGCCGCCAGATGCAGCTCGACGTGCCGGGATTGGCTCCAAGGAAAGGGGCATCGACATGGCGTTGAAGCTTAGCTTCTCACAAGGTGGACTTCGAGAGAGTCATGTCGTCATCGCGCATCGCAGCTGCTGAAGCGAACGACCAATTAGAAGCTTGTCCCTGAATCGTGGATCCATGGAAATCCTCCAAAGTGGGAGCCTCAAGATGGCCTGCAAATGATCATCAGTCTTCCCGAGCCTCGGATAAAGCCATCACCCAATCATGAATCTGTTTCTGAAAACTAACTCTGGCACGAGGATCCCCCTCCCCAGACGCAAACAATAATGCGGGTTTTAGTTAGAGGCGTCGATATTCCTTGGCTCCTACTCCCAAATTGGATTTTCCCATGGTTGCTATGACGCAGTAGACAGATAACTTGACAATCCAGACGCTTCTGACACGGCAAACTGACGTCATTAGCAATCGTGATCGCGCAGTGCCCCGCGATGCTCCTGCCTCGCAAGAGGTTCAACGAAGCAATTGCCTGGCACCTACCTACCTAGAGTTTGAATGCCCGTGAATCACTGCCATGCCGCTTTCCTCACAAAGCACTACTTAAACCCCAATCCCTCCCACCTTCAGGCTTTCTTCTTTTGTCATCATCACACATCAATCCAATCCTCAACACTCACAAACACAAACACAAACACTTTCAAACCAACCAACCCCCAAACAACCAACCACTATCACAATGGAGTCCATCAAGCAAGGTGTCAACTACGTCGCTGAGACCGTTCAGCAGGCCGCCTCTGGTGCTTCCAAGGAGACTAACAAGGAGGTCGCCAAGGACAGCAACGCCCCCATCGGCACCCGGTATGTCTTCTCATCTGCGATAACAACAACCTCACACTAACATCTTCATCCAGTGCCTCCGCTGCCAAGGACGCTCTGTCCGACAAGGCTGACGAGAAGACCCACGAGGGCAAGGCCAACGTCCACAAGGAGGCCATCTAAGTTTGTCTTAATCGAAGAACGACATGATACAGGAATCACATTCTGAAGACATGGATCGCAACGGCGTTGAAAGGGAATAGCGTTGGGACTACATAGGCTGTACACACCTACACCTAATACAAACAATCAAATACCACAAACTACTCATTAAATGTTTTCGAAGTGATCTGAAGTTTGATAGGCCATACACTGTAGTATCTATCTCGTCGAAGCCATCTCCAGTGCTCTTGACCTCTGGATAGGTAGCTACACAAATTGGCCACCGAGAGCACAAAGGATGAAACCAGTAGGCCAGTTCATGCATATTAGACCAAGCTCCAGGCTATTTATTTTTGTGGTCAAACTCCAGAGGCAATATTTCATTACCCGCCTGTCCTAACTCTTCCGTGCCCGAGCTCATTGGGGCATGTCTCAGTCACTTTTCATCACATTCGTTGCGTTTCTCTTGATCAAAGGCCAGATGAGACTCGCACGTTTGGGCTCTGCATGCGAGCTATATCCATTTCATAGCCTCTGAAGCATCTCAGCCATGTACTGAGATAGTCAATCAATCACGGGTCCCTACTTTGCTCAGCGCTAACAGCTGTCACAGACGTCTCATCGCCATGCAATTGAACCCCAATGCCTAGCAGGGCGAATATAGTTATATATGTCTTGTGACGCTAATCTCAAGATCGAGACCGTAGGACTAACCCTTGCATCATTATGAAGGGATTCTGAGCTGGCAGCAGTGGCCCAAAGTACGAACCCACTACTTGCGTCAAGGATAGACTAAGTTTTAAGTCAACACGTGTTACAGAATGTAGCCACATCTTGAAATGGAGAGGCAACCGTGATCTCACAGCGATGATGAATGAGGTTGATCGTTTGAATAAGCTTAGTGATGCAGCATGGACGCTGTCAGTACCAACATCACTTGCTATCATCGCTCTACTTGTCGGTCGCGGAATTGGCGAATATTCAACAGCACGGTAGATTCCCTCCAGTGTACAGGACAAGAAATCAATCGGTACTTAAGTGACTAGGCCAACACAATCTTCATCGGCGTCAAACTAGGTAGCTCTGTTACATAGGTCTGAAAGAGTTCCCCAGAAATATACAAAGAGGCAGTCAACCAGGATGAAGACCCTGGTGCATTTCACGAGGCTGTACAGGAGAACACTGAGTCAGGCCAGTGAGAGAGGATTTGACCCAGCGCATGTGATATTTTTAGTCACAGAACAATTCAACGCCAGCTATCGATTTTGAACACGGAATACAAGAAGATTGAACCTTCTCCTCCTTGCTATCGGCTAACAGGCACTCGTCAAAGGCACCATCTTCCTCACCAGAACACTCTCCATCTTCATCCAAAAGCTTATCCGCAGCCGCATCTCGCAATGCACCTACTAGCACCGACATCCCCGTTGACGAGTCTGCAAGCATATAGGCTAATTCTTCACGGGTGAAGAAGCGTAAGACGAAGGCTACCTACCCAAAGACTTCTGAGTCCAAGAAGCCCTAGCTGGAGGCAACGCCAAAGAAAAAAGCTGACAAGAGTGCGATGTAATTACTAAAGCATACAGATTCCATATGAACTGAATGGTCTAAACGGTCTAAGATAATCGATAACTGAGAAACTTTTGGAAGGTAAATACAGGCTGTCTTGATCACTCGGGATGAGGGAAGGGCATAGATAGTGGGTGATCAGGAGAGACCAGTTGCTAGGGAGGATGAGGGAACAGTGAGAGCGATCCTTATCACAACACTGTTACCAGCAGGTGCAGATTGAAGGAATGCAAAGCACATAGACCAAAAGGGGAAACTGGTTTGGCGAGAGTTACGGTGGAGGTTGAATTTAATTGTTCTTCTTAAACTAGGTACCTGGCCTAAGCCACAGATTAATGCTATTGATATAGTACCTAATCTAGTATTTCTTGCATAGTTTGAATAACATACCTATGCACTGTGTTTGTCTATTAAGCCTCTCAAGACTTTCGAAGGGCAAAAAGGCAAAAGAAAGAATTGATGCGTAATCTGGGAATCGAACCCAGGGCTCCCCGATATCGCTCGAATGGCAACGGAGAATTTTACCACTAAACCAATTACGCTTCGGTATGAGAGCTGCAGAAATCTGGTACTATGAAGTTCTCTCGGGGCGGTTGGAGAAAGATACCTTCCAAGTATCCTTTGATGAGCAGTATGTTGTAAGTGGACAATCGCTTCAGTGTTGTGCCACAAACACGTCAACTTTCAAGATTGACTTGATTGTTGAAAGCTTGTCTATCCTTAAGGTGAATTTATTATTATCCTGTTTTTGTAAGAAACTCAATTATCCAACGTCTAATATTGTCTAAACTCAAGGTTGCCAAACGGCTTCGATGATACTCATCCTACACCCTTCCAACCTTGTTACACCCTTTGAATCTGTCAGTAAGGTGATGTGGAGAACAGTCGTTGAACAAATAACTTACCTTAAAAACGAATCGCTCGTCAGCAGCCTTGAAAAGCTCCTCAAACTCCTTTCCTGTTCGCTCTTGGGAGTTTAAAAGAGTCAACATCAGTAGATCCATGCTCCGCATAAGCTTCTCATCCCAGTTATTCTCAACCCCAGGCTCGCGGAGACAGTGGTCGTTGATGAGTATGCGGGCCCCAGGTTTGAGAGCCGGTATAAGATTCTTCAGAATTGTTACAGCATAATGCGAAGCTAGGTTGTGAAATATCCACCTAAAGTAGAACACTTCGTTTTTGTCAGCTCAAATCTCGTATCGATGGTCTCCAGGTTGCATCTTACCATCAGCGCCCCGGACAGGTTGTTCCGTGAAAAAGTCGTGAGCTTGGAGCGATATACGTTGGGCCACCCCTTCATCTTCGCATATGGGATTCGGGGCACTGCTGACAGTTTTTGGCAAATCTTGCACAACAAATTTCATCTTGCTCCATTTCCTAGCCAGGTCCACGCACACGAAGCCATGGCTCCCGCCGACATCCACGAATGTCCCTTCATTGACGTTCACATCAGAAAAGTCGTAGCTGTCAACGAAATGGCCAACTTCGTAGCCCTCTCCTCCAGTGAGGCTTGCCATTGCTACCGCGAATCGCTTGCCTCGTGGGGGGTCTTTGCCAAATGTTGCAAACATGGGCTCTTTGTCAACCGTTCCCCAAGCATGGTTGAATCCGGTCCGCGTGAGCGAGGTAGCCTTTGGGTCGGCACGAAGAGCTTCCAGAGTGTGTGCTCCCGCTGGAAAGAAATCTTCTCCGTTCAAGCCCACCCAGGCTTGAAGATTGGAATCTTGAGCAAGGATTTTGGAAGCAGCACTGTGTGCTATAAAGCCCGGCATGGGTTCCTGGAAGATACTGTTCGTCATAGCATGACGCAGAGCGCGGGCCAAGTTGACAGAATCCAATGTGGTTCTAGTCTGAAGATCTCGCAAAGAAATGGGCTCATCTAATGGGACAAGATCGTCTTTTGAGTATCAGCAACTGCTCTGACCGTAGAGCAGGCTTACTCACATATCTTGTAACTGTTGAGAATCTGAAGACTCAACGTGTCTAGATACTTTTGCTTGTCAGTTCTGAAGGAATATCCCGAAAGAAAAGGACTTACACTCCATATACCCCATCTGATAGTCTCTCTAGGTCCTCTTACGAGAAGTTCTAGTTGCTTTGTTGCCGATGAAATCTCCAGTCTGCATTTCTGTATGTCCTCCGGTAGCTTGGGGAGGTCATTGGGGGCGTTGACATCAAATCCCAGATCTGGAAGTCCCTTGCTCTTGAAATAATTGTCAAGCTTTTCTGTCTCTTCGGCAATCTTCCTTGCCAACTGTACCATGAGAGATGTCTCTAAACTTGGCGAGCCATGCGAGTATGGCGGAGTGAGTTCTTCTTCACCCATTTTAACAAACTACGTGATGTAGTCGTGCTTCACGGTCAACGTTGCAATACGCAGTACGTATGGCTTTGGGGTTGCGTGATTTTATACATTTCAGATTTCCATTAACGACCCAGGATAGTTCGAAACTGCAGGCGATCAGCAAGACCCCATGCGGGTTGTGGGTATGTCCAGAACATGGTCGGCTTGAGCTATTCCCACCATCCTCATTCCTGGTAGCGCGGATTGAAAAGGTGGCGAGATGCCTTTAGCCCAAGTCTATCTTGATATAAGAACATTCATGATTGGCGTATGTCCTGCAAGCTGTGGCATTGCCTTGGAACGAAGTCGAGAAATGACCTGGAAGTAGTACTTAAAGTACATGACTAGGATTATTTGTTGCGATGACACTGGTTTGGTTAGGTCTCGAGCTCACCCGTTCCTCTTTCCTCCCTCTCTGCAGGCTAGCGCCAAAGCTAACATGGATGTAATGGTGTGGGTGGCATGAAGCTAGGTTCATATTAAGCGCCATGGAGCTTGGCCGCCTTTGGCTACAAAAGTAAATCTGAACGATGGTCATCTTTCGCACCTCCTTCATGTCGGAGTCCGTTCTAGGCGTTCTGAGCGTTTCCTTAAAATATGATGTGACATTGATGGCACGCAAATTATTGTGGGGAAACGGTATGCATTGAAGACAGGGTAAATAGAAGAGACAAGAGACAGGTAATGTGTCTTCTGGATCGTTGTACTTTTGTATATATGAGTAAGCTGAAGTGGTGCTGTCTATCAACTCTTGGGTTGTAGTGCAGGCTGTGGATGTGCCTTGATAGCAGAAGATGTTTATCGAGTCGGTGTTTTTTGTACCCAAGGCTAGGCTAATATTGTACCTGCCACTTATTTCCGGACCAGGCTTGCCTTAACGGAGTCGAGATCCATGGGCAGTTCGTCGGGGAACAAAACAGCACCCCCCCCCCCCCCCCCCCCAGCATTCCACTTGGCATCTTTAGCGGCTCCACGTTATGATGGCGTTCCTCGGACCGGCACGTCCTTGGTTGCAGAACGATGTCAAAGCTGTTGGCGGATTTTTCATGTGTTTTACCCCCTTCTCTTTTTTGTTTTCTGGCCCGGCGCTTTTAGTACGGCTTCTGCCCATAAACGATGTGCATGGGCATGTATAGTAGCGCCGTGTTGTCGCTGTATGCCCTTCGTACACTGACGAGAAAGACTTCAATCTGCTCGCGGCTCCATCCCATCCCTCTGGACATGGGACCGAGAGCAATGGCCTGGATGCCATCATTTAATATAGTACGCCAATAGAGCCCGACGGTCTTGAGAACTTGATTCTTGGGCCAAGTTCCAAGAGGGACATGGAATATTCGCTCAGTAACATTAACAAAACCGGCTGCCTGCATCTTGGTAGATAACTTGCCTCCTGCGGCGGCAGGGAAGTCGACACCAAGTGCTGCAAGACCTTCGTTGATGTAGGTCCAGTATTGTGCAATTGGGTGGTCGCATGGCTTGATGGCTTCACCTGTTCTTGCGTTGTGGGGGTAATGATGAATCTCCTGGAGCTCCATCCACCCTCCAGGCTTCATGTGCCTTTGTTACGTGAGTACGACGTCGATGGGATGGTAATGGGGAAATGGTACTCACTCTAGGGCGCTGTCAAAGAGCCGAGGCCAATCTTTGACTGCTTGGACGGTATGGCGGGAATGAACATAATCAAAGTGGTTCTGTGGATGAAGCCAGGAAGACTCGACATCGTCAACCATGAAGTGAACGTTAGGCGGCAACCAAGTTGGTTGAATGGGAGAGAGGTCGATGCCGAGAACATTGGCACTGGGATATTGCTCGCCCACTATTTGAGTGTTAGCTGCCGAAACGTACACGCATGAAGAAAGGTGTTCTTACTCTCGATCGCCCATATTCCTGTACCGGTTCCAATGTCGAGAATATTCTGAGGATTGTCGCCCAGTGGCGCAAAATGCAGATTCTGACCTGAGAGAAGTCTCACCATGGCATGCTTCATGTCTTCTCTCTCCTGTTCCACGTCGTCGTTTGGGAAGTTATATGCGCCGGCGCGAAAGCTGTGGTAACGGCGACCATTCTCGAACATGTAATCCCGAACGGATGAGCCAATGGATGTGCTCGCAAAGCTCATATTATCACTCCCATATCCAGCATCGTCTGTAGAATTGTACTCATCACTGTCTGCGACGATGGCTTCTTCGGCCTGGGCGAGAGCTTGTCGAGACATGGCCTCCTGCTCTATAATCGACATTTTTGGGAACATTGAGATTCCATTAGGGTGAGTGAGTGGCGACGTGACCCCGGGATCGTTGCGTCGACCCTGTTCGGAGATATCTGAAGCTGGAGAGCCTGTTGCACGATCCGTTCGGGCTTGTTCCTTCAAGGCATCGTATTGTTTGCTAGTTTGTGTAGGGGAGCTGGCGCTGTAATTATCGTGATAGTCCAACATGGTTCGTCGAACTTCTGATATCTCGCGGTCGTTGGACTTGAAAGCACCAGAGCGTAATTGGCCGTGGGCAGATAGCTCATCATAGTCAGTAGCGTCCTCGCGCTGCCTCTTATTGCGTGGTTCCTGGTTCATCGTAGTTGAAGTGTGTAAGTGTGTGTAAGTGCCGGAAGGAAGACGGGTATAACAAAGAAGCAGTTAGCGTCTGGTCGACTTGGTGCGGATATAACAGGACAAATTTAATGTCTAAATAATAGATGGCCGATGATCTGCGCAGGCTGGGGCTTCGCCACGGGTCTCGTCGATATTTCGTAAAAGGGTCGTAAATGAAAATGAAGATTGAAACAGCGTGCGTGGTCTGGTGACGATATTATCGACTTGGTTGTTGTCCAAGATTAGAAGGGTAGCTGGCTGGTATGATGGTATTCGGCGTCAAAGCCACATGGATAATACGCGCAGAGACAGGCAGATCCCAAGCAATGTGTTTAAATGAAACAGATTCTGCAGTTGCAGGAGGAGAGTTACATGTCCGAAAAAGAGGCGCTTGAGAATATGTAAGTACAATACACACACTTATTAGACCAGCGATCGTTCCAACCCGCACCTGCTGTAGGTACAGTGCATACCTTGGAGCAAACCAAACGCTGGTGGGGCTTTCGCAGGCAAGGGATCCGACAACAGTTGGTTGCGGTATAGATCGTGCCAAGAAAGTGGCAGATTGCCGCCACTTGGATTATAAATACTGACAGATACTGGTTCTAGCC